AACCCCCGTAAAATAATTATTTAAGTTTAAAATCTAAAACTAAAAGAAAGTATTTTTTGTTCAATTTTAATTAAATGTTAGATAATTTTAATTAAATGTTAGCTTAAAAGATTTGAACTTTTTTTTTAATTTTTGATTTTTTTTTACTTGTAAATAATGAGCATATTTAATTTTTTTAAATTCAAACTTTTTCAACTGCGTGCGGTTTTTAAAATACTTTATTAAATGTTAAAATATTCGTAAATTACTTCATTAAAATTTCGCTCAAAAATATTTTTAAATATACTCAAACAAAAAATTTTTTGCTCGACGCAAATAGCCCTAGCTACACGCAAAATCGCTCTTGGACGACGTAAAATTCACATCGCCCGACGCTTTATCGCAAGGCCTGATATATATATATATATATATATATATATAATATATATATATATATATATATATATAGTATATATATATATATATATATATATATATAATATATATATATATATATATATAGTAAATTTACGGTTATTCAAACTGGCACTTATTTAAATTTTCTATATATATATATATTATATATATATAATATATATATATATTATATATATATATATATATATATATATATATATATATATATATATATATATATATATATATATATATGTATATATATACATATATATATATATATATACATATATATATTATATATATATATATATATATATACATATATATATATATATTCATATATATATATATATATATATATATATATATATTCATATATATATATATATATATATATATATATATATATATATTTATATATATATATATATATATATATATATATTCATATATATATATATATATATATATAAATATATATATATATATATATATATATATATGAATATATATATATATATATATATATATATATATTCATATATATATATATATATATATATATATATATATATATATATATATATATATATATATATATATATATATATATATATATATATATATATTCATATATATATATATATATATATATATATATATATATATATATATATATATATATATATATTCATATATATATATATATATATATATATATATATATATATATATATATATATATATATATATATATATATATATATATATATATATATATATATATATATATATATATATATATATATATATTATATATATATATATATATATATATATATATATATATATATATATATATACATATATATATATATATATATATATATATATATATATATATATATATATATATATATATATATATATATATATATATATATATATATATATATATATATATATATATATATATATATATATATATATATATATATATATATATATATATATATATATATATATATCTCTGTGTGTGTGTGTGTGTGTGTATATATAAATTTTGCAACTAAAAATAGTCATGTATCTATACATTAACTAACTAAATAAAACTTACTTGGTGTAACTATAAATCATTAATTTAAATCATATTATGTACTTCGTTCATAAGATGCAAACCAGTTAAAACCAAATCATTCCTTGATCTTTGATCCACTAGAACTTTACTAAATAAATTTATACTGGTAATCAAACTACCACAAGTCAAAAAATTTACACAGTATTATTGAAATCAGCTTTGACCAATAGTTAATATTAAATTTTTTTTTATTCTTCACTATATTAAAAACAAAGAAAAGTTAAATCCGAAGAGAAACAAAATTATTCACAAACATAATTACTTACATTCTTCTTTGGAGTCCTCTTTAGTTGTGAAATTAAATCCTGCACATACTTCTTTATCTATTAGTAATTATTTAGTAAATTAAATATAAGTAAAATTATGTAAAAACAAAAAAGTAGAATAAGTGTAAACAGATTAAAATATATATCTTGGCAGCAATAATACCATAACCAGATTCAAAATATTACTTATTCGGAAATAAAAGTAAAATAGTTTATTTGATGTAATACTTTGCCGTTAAAATAAAGCTATAATAGTTTTTTTATTTATATAAAACAATTAAAATGGTAATAATTACTTTAAAATTTAATGACCTCTAGTTACTTTAACTCTTTTAAGTCTAAGTTTGTTGCATGAGTCAATGATTGAAAAATTATTATAGGTAGCTTTCATTGCATGAACACAAGTTGACCAAAATAACCATCCATCTTTTTTCGAACAAGATGGAACAACTGCCTCTGCTTCAAACCTAATGTATATGTAAATTATGTATATATAAATCTTTATATATACATTATTTACACACACACACACACACACACACACACACACACACACACACACACACACACACACACACACATGTATATATATATCAATATATATATATATATATATATATATTATATATATATATATATATATATATATATATATATATATATATATAACATATATACATATATATATATATATATATATATATATATATATATATATGTATAGTTATATATATATATATATATATATACATATATATATATATATATATATATATATATATATATATATATATATATATATATATATATATATATATTTATATATATATATATATATATATATATATATATATATATATATATATATATATGAATATATATATATATGTGTATATATATATATATATATATATATAGATATATAATATGTATGTATAGTTACATTTATATATATATATATATATATAAATATATATATATATATATATATATATATATATATATATAAATATATATATATATATATATATATATATATATATATATATCTATATATATATATATATATATATATATATATATATATATATATATATATATATATATATATATATATATATATATATATATATATATATATATATATATATATATATATATATATATATATATATATATGTATGTATAAGTGATAATTTTTAAATAAATTAAAAAATTTATTATGTTTACAAACTTAATTTAGTTTGACTTATTATGTTTTATTAATTTTGATAATATTTTATAAATGTGAATCGTATTAAAACTAAGTACTATTTCTAACTAAGAAATAAATATTTAAAAAAGTTGAGCATTTTATTAAAATCGTCAACTTAAAACAAAATAAAACATTGACAAAAATAAGCTGAATAAATCGAATTTACCCTGAGATTTATGTACTTTATATACATTTTGATATAAAATCTAAAAGTTTTAAATTAGTCGCAATAAAATAGGCTATAAAATATAACTTTATTTAAAAAAATTTTATACCATATGCATGCATTCTATCAAGTTTTCCTTGCCTTTCCATTACGGCAAATTATTTTTGTAATGGTTAGTTATTGAGACAATAATTTTCAATGTGCCACTTCCTCAACATTGTCAAAACAACGTTTTATTAACGTTGGCAAAGTAACACTTTTTCAACGTTTTTTAATTACCACATTTTCAACCAACGTTGAAATAACGTTGAATAAGTGTTGTTTTTCAAATAGTTTAACTTCGTTGAAAAAGCAGCTAATGTCTAACGTTGATAAACCATTACCTTTGCGACGTTTTTACAGTGATTATTTGCGTACTTATTTTCAACGTTTAATAAACGCATTTTTTTGAGAAGATAAGATACGTTTAAATTTATACGCTTATTCAACGTTGAAAATGTAACGTTTAAAAAGCGGTTTGTTTTTAACGTTGATAAAGCATATACTTCGAAACGTTTTTAAAGTGGCTTTTTGCGTAAGTTGATTCCACGTTGAATAAACGTTTTATTTTGAGAGGCTAAATTACGTTACAATTTCAACGCTTATTCAAAGTTTTAATTTACCGCGATTTAGTATACAAAAACAGACATTGATTCAACGTTGAAAGCACGTTGTTTTTGTGACTGTAACGCTTTTTCTACGCTGCGACTGGTTTTCAACGTTGATTCAACGCTTACATGTTTGCTTGGTATATACAGTAAACTCCCGGTTTACTCTATATGTGTGTGTGGCCAAAATATCATTATGAGTGTTATTCTAGATAAAAATATTAAAAGAGCGAATATAGAACCCTGTGGTTCTCTTAAAGTTACTTGAAATATAGAAGAGGGAAGGCCTTTAAGAATAATATTACTACTGCAGTTAGAAAGAAATAAGTTATTAACCTCAAAACCTTTACATAGAAAATTATAAGAAACTGATAACAAAATGAAGAGTAATCGTATGATACTTGGAGAGGTCAAGGTGTTTTCTAGAGTTTTTCAAAAATTGCAACCATGTATTTAGTACTATTTAAAAGTTTAGCAAAAATTTTTGAGAGTTCTGAAAAACACTTTTTTAAGACTATGATTGAAATCATGTCTGAAGCACAAATGGTAGAAGTGTTTAATTGGAATTAATTTTAGTATTGGAAGCCAGAGTAATTTTGATGTTTAACAATAGATTATTCTGTTTAACTGTCAGGAAGAGTTTGTCCATTATAATTGAGAGTCAAACTAGAGTAAGATTTTATTGTAAATAGCACTAATTTACTTGAGTTAATAACACTGTTGAAAACTAACCAAAATTTTCTAGAACCTATCATTTAAGATAAGATACAGGCTTTAGTAAATTAAGAATAACAGAGATTTACATCAAACAAGACTTTATTTATACATTTGCTTATTGTAATAATAAAAAGGACAATTTGTTCTTAAAAGAGATGTGCTTATAAAAAAGATTAAAATTTTGAAAGATGTAGAGTAGAATGAGGCTTGATTTAAAACTGAAGATAAGTAATAAAAGCTTCCAAACTTTTATTCCAGAAGCAATATAAGCCTCCAAGATGCGTTTTTTGCACACATTATGGATATAATCATATCTGTTTGCTATTTGTTTAGATGCTTGCATATAATATCCTTTTATTACTATATAAACGTTAGTATTTATATGGTGTAGTATTTGCCAAAAGAGAAGATGATCAGATAGATGGGTGGTGTGACTCTAACAAGACATAAAAAGGAGGCATAATCTTAGACAGATTTTTTTTAGAAACGGGTAAAGTAATTTAGGTATCAACATTTAAAGTGGTAGTAACTTCAGTATAAAATGGTTGTGGTAGAAGTAAGAAAATTTGAAGAGTTTACCTTACATATTGTACAAATGAGCTTTAGTTAGGAATAAAAGTGTACTACATTGTTTATATTAAGGAAACAGCTTAAAAGAGGAAGGATAAAGCCTAATGGTGATAATGATGATAATAAAGATGATGATGATGATGATCATGAACATGATAATAATGATGATGATGATGATCATCATCATCATCATAATTTTTTTTATCAATATCAAACTTTTTGCTTTTATGCTGTTGATGATGATGATGATAATGTATATATATATATATATATATATATATATATATATATATATATATATATATATATATATATATATATATATATATATATATATATATATATATATATATATATATATATATATATATATATATATATATATATATATATATTGTTGTTTTTATTGTACCAAATTAAGATACAAAAATCTCTTGTTCGTTTGAGAGTGATCAATATAATGTAAGTGTTTACAAAATAGATCAATAATAATAATAATAATAGAGTTTGATTATTTGAAAAAAATACAACTTTTTGATGGTACTTGAAGTTTCATGCCCTTCGGCAATCATCAGCCATATTTTATTCTTTTAAAACAAGAAAAAACCGTTAAGAAATACAAAATACAAAAATTAACAGAAAAAACAATAACAAAGCAATAGAATGAGTTCTGACGTCAAAACAAAATTTTTAATTAGAAAATTAGAAAATTGTTTAATCAGCCGTGTCGAAGTGGGCGAGAAGAAACTTGTTTCGATGCCTGCATTTGGATATCATTTCACTTTTTTTGTTAATTAGATTTTTATTTTTGGAAAACAGAATTTGATATTTTTCATTTATACACAGTTTGCAAGACTTCATGGTTGGGTTGTAAGCATTGCACTGCCTAATTATTTTCCATTTAATAACTGGATTTAAATTTGCATCTTTCAGTTTCCAAAATTCTTTTGATAGTTCAGTGTCATTTTTGTATTTTTGAATGGTAAAAGATTTTACATGGTTGGCATATCTAATTTTGAATGGTGTTTCGCTTATACCGATGTATAGTTTGATGACAGGATTGGTAGTAGGATTAGTTGAACTTATTTTAGCTTGGTATACAATGTTTTTTGTTAAGCATTGGTTTGATAGAGGGCAGGTGCTTTTATTAAGGCAGTTGCAATTGGTTTTAGGTAGATCTTTTTTGTTGTTCATAATTTGTCGATTGTGTGCATTTAGGATAGATTTCATGTTCGGCATACAGCTATATTGTATACATTGTATACCAAGCTAAAATAAGTTCAACTAATCCTACTACCAATCCTGTCATCAAACTATACATCGGTATAAGCGAAACACCATTCAAAATTAGATATGCCAACCATGTAAAATCTTTTACCATTCAAAAATACAAAAATGACACTGAACTATCAAAAGAATTTTGGAAACTGAAAGATGCAAATTTAAATCCAGTTATTAAATGGAAAATAATTAGGCAGTGCAATGCTTACAACCCAACCATGAAGTCTTGCAAACTGTGTATAAATGAAAAATATCAAATTCTGTTTTCCAAAAATAAAAATCTAATTAACAAAAAAAGTGAAATGATATCCAAATGCAGGCATCGAAACAAGTTTCTTCTCGCCCACTTCGACACGGCTGATTAAACAATTTTCTAATTTTCTAATTAAAAATTTTGTTTTGACGTCAGAACTCATTCTATTGCTTTGTTATTGTTTTTTCTGTTAATTTTTGTATTTTGTATTTCTTAACGGTTTTTCTTGTTTTAAAAGAATAAAATATGGCTGATGATTGCCGAAGGGCATGAAACTTCAAGTACCATCAAAAAGTTGTATTTTTTTCAAATAATCAAACTCTATTATTATTATTATATATATATATATATATATATATATATATATATATATATATATATATTTATTTTTACTTATTAAGTTTAATAATGGTCATTCTAATTCAAGAACATTTTTTAAACATTTGCTTTCAGACTGCCACTGATACAAATTTTGTTTTTTGATTTCGGTTTTGTATCTCAATAATATCCTTGCTTATTAATAAGATATCCTGTAAGTCGACTCACGCACATAAATCTTTAAAAAAATGCTTATATTTTTATCTATATATCTATAAATTGTATATTTTATATAAATTAATTGTATATTTTTAAACATTTGATTGTATATTACAGTTTATATTAAAAATGAATTTTAGAAATATTACAAGTACAGAGTTCAACATACAATTTAGTTTTATTTGTCAATTCAATATATATCATAGCCAAGTTTAATTACATTTAATAACATTTCGCGATATTTTCTCCAGCGCATTTAAGCGTTGATTCAACGTTATATTTCAACCTATACTCGACGTCTTTGAGTCACGTTAAATCGACGTTTTATTGCCAACGTTAAAAATCCTTGCAAAATCGACTGGCTTAACAACGTTACAGTAACGCTTTTCAAGTAACATTTTTTTAACGTTAATTTGCGACGCTAATGCGACGCTTTTTAAGTATCACTTATTTAACGTTTAGTTGCGACATTTTTGTAACGCTTTTATTAACGTTTTTTCAACGTTACGCTACAACGTTTAATCAACGACTCTTTAACAACGTCACATATCTTTGCAAAATCGATTACTTTGTCAACGTTTCCGCAACATCTTTTGCAACCGGTTTTCAATGTTAATTCAACGCTGACATGTTTGCTGGGTAATTGCTTGAATAGCTTAATGAAACAGCAAAAAAAATCTACTTTATTATGTTTTTGTATGTTTAAATTGTAAATAAACACAAAATGTTAAAATTTTTATTTATTTATCCGGATCTAAAACATAAGTATAAACATACAAATTTGTGTGTGTATACTTATGTCAAATAATGATGCTTTGCAAAAAAAATTGCAATAGTTGGAGGCTGGGAACAAAAAGCTAATAAAAACGTCTAAAGAACGTTTAAAAAACGTACCGTACACACTGGGTGAGATCTTTGTGACCTTCCAAAGAAAAATATACAAACAGTTCACGATGGTTTCATTATAAATAGGGATGTTAAGTCCATGCAATAAATATTTCTTTACTTTGTAAAAGTGGACGGGACAATTGACGGCAGGTGTCTTATATAAACACAAACACAACATTATTCAAGTTAAACCAGGAAAAAAATAAGATTTTGCAGAATCCACTGGACAATTGGGGTATACAACAACTGGAAATGTT